TATGTCAAATTTGGTTAAGATCGGTTCAGATATAGCTATAGCTCCCATACATACTGTTCATCCGATTTGTCATATTTGTCATCCACAGCCGTAATATGCACTCCGTAACAACGATATTCAGGGAAATATATCAAATACAGCTCAGAAATATATTTGCCAAATTTGTTTGAGATCGGTTCAGATTTGGATATAGCTCCCATATATAACTTCGTCCGATTTGCCTTTTATTGTGCACCAAACGTGTAATTTCACTCCGAATAGTATGGAAATTTGCACGTACAATCAGATTGGACCTAAAAATAAGTATGCCAAATTTGATTGAAATCGGTTTAGATATAGTTATAGCGCCCATATATATTTTTCATCCGATTTGTTAGTTTTTGTCCTCCGCAGCCGTAATATGCACTCTGTAACAACAATATTTGGGGAAATATATCAAATACAGCTCAGAAATACATTTGCTAAATTTTATCGAGATCGGTTTAGATTTGGATATAGCTCCCATATATAACTTCGTCCGATTTACCTTTGATTGTGCACCAAACGTCTACTATTTGCCCAAATTGGATGAAATTTGCCACTTACGACCGAATTGAGTCTAGAAACTAGTATGTCAAATTTGGTGAAGATCGGTTCAGATATAGCTATAGCTCCTATACATACTGTTTATCCGATTTGTTACTTTTTGTCCTCCGCAGCCGTAATATGCACTCCATGATATTCAGGGAAATATTTCAAAACCAGCTCAGAAATATATTTGCCAATTTTTTTTGAGATCGGTTCCGATTTAGATATAGCTCTTATATATATCTATATCCGATTTCAAAAAAATTGTGCAGCAAATGGGCAGTACAAGTCCGAATTTAAAAGTCACAAATGCTTCGGCATATTTAGTCCTTTGAACTTTAAATTATAATTATAATCATAGCGTGCATGATTGAATTCTCCCATAAAAACTTTTAATTGTTATGTGGAGCTCTACTAAATTAGCAAAGTGGTGTAGGGTATCATAAAGTCGGCCCCTCCCGACTTTAAGACTTTCTTTACTAGTTTTTTTTTTCTGGAAAATTCTCGCCAAAATGCATTTTGAAAATGGCTCTTCGCTACACATCTTTTCCCCATCATCTCCCTATTAAGTCCAAAGTTGAATATCCTCACACTTCTGCATTCAAATACTTCCTTCCTCTACCCTCACATTTGTTTATTGTGTCTCTCCCCAGCCCCATCATTTGTTATTATACCTATTATTAATAGCCTAGCCAGACAGCAATGCTCTTCCTTTTGATTTCGTTGATGATCATTCCATTCAATCAATTAAAACCTACATAGCCCTCTATTGGCCAATTGCACACAAGCGTCGGAATGTCAATCTAGATTAAAGAAATATGATTGAAATAGGCGACTAATTGAATTTGTAACCATGCTTTTTGGTTTTCGAAAAGTCATTTTTTTTTTCAATACCAATTGATTGTGGCTGATAAGATTGCTCGCCAAGAGACCAACAAAAAAAAAAACGAAAAAAAACATTCAAAGATCTTAACATAGTAAATAATGCAAATAAATCAATTTTTGGGGAGGTTTGAAAATTGTTTGTTTCAAATGGAGAGAAACGAAAAGGGAAAGGCATTTATGGAACTTTTCGCTAAATATTTCAATTCATTTTGAAATTCTGGGAAATTCTGGATACTGAAACAATTTTATTATAATTTTCCTTAAGATTTAAAATTTTCAAAATAATTATCCTGCAACAAAGTAAATAATGCAAATAAATAAATTTTGGGAGATTGGAATATTTTTCAATGGAGAGAATCAAAAATTTAATGGCTTTTATGGAGCATTTATGGTTTTCCCTGCCCATTTCAATTTCAAAATTGATAAGAATTATTGAATAAAGTCATAATTTGAAAATTTTTCATTTTAGATTTTATTCCAAAATTATGAAAATCAATTCTACATTCAAAATTTTCTTGAATTCTTCAAAATTTCAGACTTTTGAAAATTCCATTACAGAGTGAGACAAAAAAAAAAAAAAAACTGCAACAAAATCAAACACCATAATTTTTACATTTTTTTTTTTAAATTTTATTTGAATGAAAGCAAACCAGTAAAGAAAGTCCTTAAGTCGGGCGGGGCCGATTTTATGATACCCTACACCACTTTGCTAACTTAGTAGAGCTCCACATAACAATTAAAAGTTTTTATCGGAGAATTCAATCATGCACCACGCTATGATTATAATTATAATTTAAAATTCAAAGGACTAAATATGCCGAAGCATTTGTATCTTTTAAATTCGGACTTGTATTGCCCATTTGGTGAGAAATTAATTTGAAATCGGATAAAAATATATATGGGAACTATATAAAAATTTGAACCGATCTCGATAAAATTTGGCAAAGATATTTCGGAGCTGTATTTTATATATTTCCCTGAATATCGTTGTTACGGGGAGTGCATATTACGGCTGTGGGTAATAAATATGACAAATCGGATGACCAGTATGTATGGGAGCTATAGCTATATCTGAACCGATCTTTACCAAATTTGGCATACTAGCTTCTAGACTCAATTCGGTCGTAAGTGCCAAATTCCATCCCATTTGGACAAATATTAGACGTTTGGTGCACAATAAATTGTAAATCGGACGAAGTTATATATAGGGGAGCTATATCCAAATCTGAACCGATTTCGACAAAATTTATCAAATGTATTTCTGAGCTGTATTTGATATATTTCCCCAAATATCGTAGTTACCGAGTGCATATTACGGCTGAGGAGGACAACAATAACAAATCGGATGAACAAGATATATTGGAGCTATAGCTATATCTGAACCGATCTTTACCAAATTTGACATACTAGTTTCTAGACTCAAGTCGGTCGTAAGTGCCAAATTTCATCCAATTTGGGCAAATATTACACGTTTGGTGCACAATCAAATGTAAATCGGACGAAGTTATGTATGGGAGCTATATCCAAATCTGAACCGATCTCGATAAAATTTAGCAAATGTATTTCTAAGCTGTATTTGATATATTTCCCCAAATATTGTTGTTACAGAGTGCATATTACGGCTGCGGAGGACAAAAATAACAAATCGGATGTACAATATATATGGGAGCTATAACTACATCTGAACCGATCTTAACCAAATTTGACATACTAGTTTCTAGACTAAATTCGGTCGTAAGTGCCAAATTTCATCCAATTTGGGCAAATATTAGACGTTTGGTGCACAATAAATGGTAAATCGGACGAAGTTATATATCGGAGCTATATCCAAATCTGAACCGATCTCGATAAAATTTAGCAAATGTATTTCTGAGCTGCATTTGATATATTTCCCCAAATATTGTTGTTACAGAGTGCATATTACAGCTGCGGAGGACAAAAATAACAAATCGGATGAACAGTATATATGGGAGCTATAGCTATACCTGAACCGATTTCGATCAAATTTGACATACTTATTTTCAGGCCTAATTTGGTTGTACGTGCAAATTTCCATACTATTCGGACTGATATTACACGTTTGGTGCACAATAAAAAGCAAATCGGACGAAGATATATTTGGGAGCTATAGCTATATCTGAACCGATCTTCACCAAATTTGGCATACTACCTTCTAGACTAAATTCGGTCGTATGTGTCAAATTCCATCCCATTTGGACAAATGTTAGACGTTTGGTGCACAATAAATGGTAAATCGGACGAAGTTATATATGGGAGCTATATCCAAATCTGAACCGATCTCGATAAAATTTAGCAAAGGTATTTCTGAGCTGTATTTGATATATTTCCCCAAATATTGTTGTTACAGAGTGCATATTACGGCTGCTGAGGACAACAAATAACAAATCGGATGAACAATATATATGGGAGCTATAGCTATATCTGAACCGATCTTCACCAAATTTGACATACTACCTTTTAGACTAAATTCGGTCGTATGTGCCAAATTCCATCCCATTTGGACAAATATTAGACGTTTGGTGCACAATAAATGGTAAATCGGACGAAGTTATATATAGGGGAGCTATATCTAAATTTTTACCGATTATCTCCAATTTCAATAGGCTTCGTTCTTGGGCCAAACAAATGTTGTTTGCAAAATTTCATCTCAATCGGATAATAAATGCGACCTGCATTTTGTTCACAAGAATACATGGACAGACGGACGGACGGACAGACGGACTGACATGCATACATCAACTCAGAAAGTGATTCTATGCAGATCATCAAAAGGAACTATGGGTCTATCTCGTTTCCTTTTGCCTGTTACAAACAAATGCACAAAGCCATAATACCCTGACCACCTTGTGGTGTAGGGTATAAAAATGTCGGAAATAGCATCAATTTTTAGAATAAGTTTAGATTTGTTCAAATTGGTCACCTTTGGCACGATTTATGGCCTTCAAACGGCCAATGAAACTGTCACACGCTATGCCCGAATGTTGGTCCGCGATATTTTGGCCCATTCCCGGCGAATGGCCACCAAAATCTTCGGATATTGTGTCTGGAGTATTTTGGAAAGCAAGGTTGGCACTAAAAAATACCAAAGTGACGATCAAGTCAAGCAAGCGCTTCGCCGGCATTGGGCCAAAATACCGCAGAGCAACATTTGGGCAGCGTTTGACGGTTTCATTAGCCGTTTGAAGGCCAAAATTTGTGCCAAAGGAGATCAATTCGAACAAATCTAAACTTATTCTAAAATTTGATGATATTTCCGACATTTTTTGCTTTCATTCGATAAAATTTTAAAATTATAGCATTTGACTTTTTTGCAGTTTTTTTATCTCATCCGGTATACCTTTTCAATAAAAAAAAGTACCGTGGAACTTGATATTTGAAGTGGTGGCACTTCAAATTGTAAAAAATTTACTATTATTTTGAAAATATATTAATGTTTTTGAATAAAAAATACCTATCCTGAAACTCCAAAAAATTAAGTTTTAAATTTTACAATTTTCATTATCGTCCCTCTTTCTCTATCTTTTCAGGCACTGCACCGGTTGTACCTTTTATGCCCACCCTGGCCAAACAATTGGGCTATTCAAATGTGGTTGTGGGGACCATGTATGCTATATTGCCGGTAATTGGCATGCTGGCCAAGCCATTATGTGGATTTATAGCAGATCGGTAAGTATTTTTCAAAATTTCATTTTTTTTTCAAAAATATTTCAAATTTTTCCAATTTCCTTTCCCTTTAGATACCAACGCCATCGCAGCCTTTTTATAGCCGCTGAAATTCTAACCGCAGTTGCCTTCTTCGCCATAATGTTCACGCCCGCCATTCCACAACAGCTGCCCTCGGTGACCTTTCATTGTCATGCGGGTGGGGCGAATTTTCATTTTTGCACCGAAGATCAGTGCACGTTAAACGAAATCGAGCGGGACTATCAGGACAAGGCATTAGCATGTAAGCTGAACTGTCCCGCCCAGGCCTTTATGTGGGATATAATATGCAAAGACTGGAACACTACCGGACTGTGTCCGCCCGCAAATGATAATGCAAACATAGATATAAGTGCCACATTCACAAATCTCCTGGTGGAAAGGAATGAAACCTCCAATGAGGGTTGTGTCTTCTTCAGTGTGCCGCACATACATGCCGAAGTGAATGGCCACAATGCAACGATGTATTGTCCCAGCGACAAGCCATATTTCAGCAGCATCTGTTCCATGGATTGCAATGACACCTATTTGGATAGTAAAATAGCCGATAGTCCGGTGATAAGTACCACAGCGGCCATGGGTTTATATCAATTCTGGTGGTTCTTTGGTATGTTGATCATATCATGGATTGGCATGGCGGCTGTGGTCAGTATTGGTGATGCCATTTGTTTTGGCATATTGGGTGAACGGGCCCATTTGTATGGCAAACAACGTCTCTATGGTTCGGTCGGTTGGGGTATATTCTCCATTTTGGCGGGGGTTTTGGTGGATAAGATGTCGAATGGTGTCGAAAAGGATTACACCATTGTCTTTTGGATGACAGCCGTGCTAATTGGTTTGGATGTTGTGGCCTCAATGAAATTGAAGGTAGGTTTTTTTTGAGAAAATGAGATATTTTGAATGTCAAATTTTTTTTGGATTAGGAACTTATATAAAATTCTTTAAACCAAATATTAAAAATTGTCAATTTCACAATTCTTCACATATGGAGACTTCAAAAGAATAACCAGAATTTTTTTCTCTTAAATTGGCAATAACTAGTTTGAGAGCCTTTATATTCTTTTCCCAAAAATCCACGATTATTTTGAACCATTTTGCAAAGAATTTTGAAACTTCTATTTTCGAATTTAATTCGAATTGAATTTATCTATATCATTAATAGTACGATGACAAAATGTTCAAATTTGCATTTTCTAAGAACTCTACACAAGTGTAGACTTTAAAATAAGGATCAGGGGTGTTTTATTTTCATTGCCAGTTATTAGCAAATTATTCAAAACAACATTACGAGCAATTTTGAAAAGTCTCCACTTTTGGAGACTTTTTTAAATTTCTTGAAAATGTGTTAAACTACTTTGTAGATATATTTTGAACAATAAACAGTCAAAAAACCTTCAGAGTTTCAATTTTTAAAAACTCTACACAAGTGTAGACTTGGTAAAAATGCTCTAAAATTTCTAGTATTTATTGCCAATGATAATACAATCATTGTGCGTAATTTATTTTCATTGCCAGTTATCAGAACATTATTCAAAACAAATTTTCAACCAATTTTGAAAAGTCTCCACTTTTGGAGACTTTTTTAAATTTCTTGGGAATGTATTTAACTACTTTATAGACATGTTTTGAAAATTGAACAGTCAAAAAACCAAAAAAAATTATATTTTTAAAAACTCTACACAAGTGTAGACTTGGTAAAAGTGCTCTAAATATTCTAGTTTTTATTGCCATTGATAATACAATAATTGTGCATAAATTATTTTCATTGCCAGTTATCAGAAGATTATTCAAAACAAATTTTCAACCAATTTTGAAAACTCTCCACTTTTGGAGACTTTTTTAAATTTCTTGGGAATGTGTTTAACTACTTTATAGACATGTTTTGAAAATTGAACAGTCAAAAAACCAAAAAATATTATATTTTTAAAAACTCTACACAAGTGTAGACTTGATAAAAGTGCTCTAAATATTCTAGTTTTTATTGCCAATGATAATACAACAATTGTGCATAATTTATTTTCATTGCCAGTTATCAGAAAATTATTCAAAACCACATTACGAGCAATTTTGAAAACTCTCCACTTTTGGAGACTTTTTTAAATGCCTTGGAAATTACTTGTTAAACTACTTTATAGACACATTTTAAACATTAAACAGTCAAAAACCCTTCAGAGTTTCAATTTTTAAAAACTCTACACAAGTGTAGACTTTGTAAAAATGCTCTAAATTTTCTAGTATTTATTGCCAATGATAATAAAACCATTGTGCATAATTTATTTTCATTGCCAGTTATCAGAAAATTATTCAAAACACAATTTCCATTAATTTTGAAAAGTCTCCACTTTTGGAGACTTTTTTAAATGCCTTGGAAATTACTTGTTAAACTACTTTATAGACACATTTTAAACATTAAACAGTCAAAAACCCTTCAGAGTTTCAATTTTTAAAAACTCTACACAAGTGTAGACTTTGTAAAAATGCTCTAAATTTTCTAGTATTTATTGCCAATGATAATAAAACCATTGTGCATAATTTATTTTCATTGCCAGTTATCAGAAAATTATTCAAAACACAATTTCCATTAATTTTGAAAAGTCTCCACTTTTGGAGACTTTTTTAAATGCCTTGGAAATGTTTTTAACTACTTTATAGAAGTATTCTGAACCATAAACAATCAAAAAACCTTCAAAAATTTTATTTTTAAAAACTCTACACAAGTGTAGACTTTGTAAAAATGCTCTAAATTTTCTAGTATTTATTGACAATGATAATACAACCATTGTGCGTAATTTATTTTCATTGCCAGTTATCAGAAAATTATTCAAAACCACATTACGAGTAATTTTGCAAAGTCTCCACTTCTGGAGACTTTTTTAAATTTCTTGGGAATGTGTTTAACGACTTTATAGATGTATTTTGAACCATAAACATTCAAAAAACCTTCAAAATTTCTAGTTTTAAAAACTCTACACAAGTGTAGACTTGGTAAAAATGTTCTAAATTCTCTGGGTTTTATTGCCAATGACAATACAACCATTGTGCATAATGTTTCCATTCATTTTCGAAAGTCTCCAAAAGTGGAGACTTTTCAAAATTTCCTAATTTTAATTATTTTGATTGAATTTTTCATAAATTGTATTTCGTTGCATGGTATTAGCCAATTTTTTCTTTATAAAAATTATAAAAATATCGAGTTTAGGGCCAAAAGTAAAAAAGTTGTATTGAAATTTCGATATTCTTTAATAATTGAAAATATTTTAAACCAGCTGTATTAAATTTGAGTGTTTTGTATTATTTTAAATATAAAGTTGTATTTTTATTTTTTTTTTTTTGCTATAATAAAATTGCTTTGAAGGTTATACTTTGCTTTAAAGTTCCGAATAGCGATTTGTAATAATTCTCCACAAGTGGAGATCTTTTAAATATTGAGCAAATATGCTTACTTTCATTGTAATTTACTACCGAAGCATTTTAAACAGTATTTCAAGTGATTTTTGAAACTCTCCAAAAGTGGAGACTTTTTCAATTTGCATGAAATTTTATAATTTTAAGGAAAAACGTTTAAAAATTTTACGTACAGCCGCATTTCAAGTGATTTTTGAAACTCTCCAAAAGTGGAGACTTTTTCAAATTGCATGAAATTTTATAATTTTAAGGAAAATACGTTTAAAAATTTTCATAAAGCCGAATTTCAAGTGATTTTTGAAACTCTCCAAAAGTGGAGACTTTTCCACATTGCGTAAAATTTGATAATTTCGAGAAAAATATGTTTAAAAATTCTAATTTTTAATGTTTTTTTTCCATCTCTGATCTCTCTCTCTCTCTCTTTACAGCACACCCAAACCCACTTATCGCCCAACATCCTCAAAGATGTGGGTCAAATGTTCCTCTCCATTCGATGTCTGATCTTTTTCATATGGTGCATCTTCATTGGTCTGGGTACCGCTCTCATTTGGAACTTTTTATTTGTACACCTGGAAACGTTGGGCGGCTGTGATGCCACCTACATGAAAACGCTACAAGGTTTTGTTATGTCCATTCAATGTTTCTGTGGAGAGTTGCCGTTTTTCTTTTTCTCCGGTTGGATTTTAAAGAAAATCGGTCATGTGAATGCTATGAGCATGGTGCTATTCGGTTTCGGTGTACGTTTTATATTGTACTCTATGCTGCAGGATCCATGGTATGTATTGCCCATTGAGCTGCTGAACGGAGTGACCTTTGGTCTATTCTATGCAACAATGGCTTCGTATGCGAGCATTGTTGCACCGCCCGGTACGGAGACCACAATGCAGGTGAGTAGATGGAATTTGAAATGTTTTAATTTTTTGGGGGAAGTCCCATGGGGTTCCTTTTGATTTTTATACCCTTAGACATATGGCTAGAGAGGTTATATAACATTTGATATGGCCAAAACGTGCCTCATCGAAATAACGGTTTTAGATTCTAGGTCTCTTTGGATGAAATCCGTTTCAGGTCATTTAGAGTCGATCTAGCGATGTCCGTCCGTCTGTCTGTCTGGCTGACTGGTGCACACGATAACTCTCGAAGGGAGTATCCGATTTGATCGAAACTTGTTACATCGGAATTTTATTATCAAACTTTGATCAAGTTTGGAGATGGGCAATATCGATCCACTCCTTCTGGTACCTCTCCTACAAAAGGTCCAAACTTTCAAAAAATATAATTTACTGCACCTAAAGAGAAAGGGTACCCCGATTTTCCTCCAACTTTGCAAATCCAAATATTTGCATCAGTGCTACAGCAGGTGCGAAAATGGACAATATTGTTCTACTCCATCAAGTAGCTCCCCCACAAAGGGTCAAAATTTTGAATAATTAAAACACTTGTAAAATGTTATGTGATTGTCCTATTGTCTTCAAATTACACACATCACAATATTTTTATTAATCCAAGTTCTGGTGTGAAGATGGGATATGTCGGCACACTTCTTCTGGTACCTACCCCACAAAGGGTCAAAATTTTGAATATCCATGTAGCTCATAAAACACAAAATCAACATCCGATCCCATTCAGACTTGGCACATCTCATTATATCTACTAACACAAGATCTGCTGCAAAGATGGAATATATCGGTGCACTCCTTCTGGTACCTCCCCCACAAAGGATCAAAATTTTTGAATATCCATGAAGCTCCTAAAACGCGAAATTAACATCCGATTTCATTGAGACTTGGTACACCTCAATATTTCCATCAACACAAGATCTGTTAGAAAGATGGTAAAGATCGGATCATTCCTTCAGGTACCTCCCCCACAAAGGGTTAAAGTTTCGAATAACCGAAACGATTATAAAATCCGAAATAAGCATCCGGTTCTCTTCATATTTCACACATCCCATTATTTCTACTAACACAAGATATGCTGTAAAGATGGGAGAGATCGGACCACTCCTTCTGGCACATCCCCCACAAAGGGTCAAAATTTTGAATATCCATGAAGCTCCTAAAACGCGAAATTAACATTCGATTCCATTGAGACTTGGTACATCTCAATATTTCCATCAACACAAGGTCTGTTGCAAAGATGGTAAAGATCGGATCATTCCTTCAGGTACCTCCCCCACAAAGGGTCAAAGTTTCGAATAACCGAAACGATTATAAAATCCGAAATAAGCATCCGGTTCTCTTCATATTTCACACATCCCATTATTTCTACTAACACAAGATATGCTGTAAAGATGGGAGAGATCGGACCACTCCTTCTGGCACATCCCCCACAAAGGGTCAAAATTTTGAATATCCATGAAGCTCCTAAAACGCGTAATTAACATCCGATTCCATTCAGACTTGGCAAATCTCAATATTTTTATCAACGAAAGATCTGTTATAAATATGGTAGCGATCGGACCATTCCTTCTGGTACCTCCCGTACAAAGGGTCAAAATTTTGAGTGCTCATGAATCTCATAAACAGCAAAATTAACATCCGATTCCATTGAGACTTGGTACACCTTAATATTTCTATCAACACAAGATCTGTTATAAAGATTGGAGAGATCGGATCACTCCTTCTGGTACCTCTCCTACAAAGGGTCAAAATTTTTGAATATCCATGAAGCTCCTAAAACGCGAAATTAACATCCGATTTCATTGAGACTTCGTACACCTCAATATTTCCATCAACACAAGATCTGTTGCAAATATGGTAGATATCGGACCATTTCTTCCGGTACATCCCGGACCATTTCTTCCGGTACAAAGGGTCAAAATTTTGAATATCCGTAAAGTTCCTAAAACCCGAAATTAACATTCGATTCCATTGAGACTTGGTACATCTCAATATTTCCATCAACACAAGATCTGTTGCAAAGATGGTAGATATCGGACCACTCCTTCTGGTACCACCCCCATAAAGGGTTCAAAATTGTGGATATCCATAAAGCTCATAAAAAGCGAAATTAATATCCGATTCCATTGAGACTTGGTACACCTCAATATTTCCATCAACACAAGATCTGTTATAAAGATGAGATCTATCGGCGCACTCCTTCTGGTACCTCCCCCACAAAGGGACAAAGTTTCGAATAACCAAAACTATCATAAAATCCAAAATACGCAACCAGTTGCTGTAAAGATGGGATATATCGGCCCACTCCTTCTTCTCCTACCCCACAAAGGCTCTGAATGGTAGAGATCGGACCATTTCTTCTGGTACCTTCCTCACATAGGGTTGAAAATTTTGAAAAACCAATCGAATGGATGAATTTAGTCCAAACCTGGCACGTCGCAATATTTATATCATATTTATGTGGGTCCGACAATATTAGCCCAGCAGCAACAATTTGTATAATCATAACATAAGTCAAAATATATTTACATAATCGAGGTTATACATCTTTCGGCAGAACCGACTGATACTGTCTATTTTATTTATTTTTTTTAATTCTCTATTTTTTTGAAATTTTGCAGGGTCTGGTTGGTGCCATTTTCGAAGGCGTTGGCGTTTCTGTGGGCAGTTTGATTGCTGGCTATCTCTTCGATTCCATTGGTGGTGGTCATACATTTGAAATCTTTGGTGTGGCCGCTTTTGTGGCCTTCATTGTTCATGTGTGTGTGCAAATGTATTTGCAGCGTCATCACTCCAGCAGCGATACTGAAAATGGTAAGCAAATTGATGATAAAGCTCCAACGGCAGAAAATCCCATACTCCATGAAGATGGTAATGTCGATATTGAGTCGAATAGTAATGCGGCCACCCAGACCAATAGTAGTGAGGTGGAGCCGCCCAACAACGGCTCCTCATAACAGTGTCTGCTGTTGTGGGAAACAAATTTATAAAAGTTTCCTAACGCAGGGAGCTTAATTTTTTTTTTAACCAAAAGACGAATTTAGAGATTTTTTATAAGAGATTTTAAAAGTTTACGATATTGTTCAATATTTTTTGTTTTTATTTGGTTTTGTGTTTTTTTTTTTTTTTTGTAAAAAAAAGAAAATTGTTGTTTTGTTTATTTTTTGCGTATTTTTTATAACAATAAACAATTTTTATACCAAATATGGTGTTGGAAGGCAAATAGAATTTTAGCCAGACATTTTTCAAGATAAGCTGTACTAATTTTCCAGATAATTTCATTGGTTTGTTTAAGAGACCTTGGCGGGGCAAAATCACATGCCAAATAAAAGTGGATATGCCCATGTGTGATATAATAACTACAACATAACGATTTCAGAGAGAGAGAGAGAGAGCGATTTGGAAAAAAATCCCAAAATTCATTCTCTTCGATGATAGATGATAAACAGGGTCATCTACTCGTGAGATTCTCTTATTTATATTTAGAGTAATTTTTTTATATACTTTCATATATATACAGGGTGAGATAAAAAAACTGCAGCCCTATGTCTAAGCCACCACTGCTGTCATATGTCTAAGCCACTCGTCCGACAGGCGACTAAAATTATTCCCGGGACAGCTCATTATATTGTTTACAAGCGTCCGAAAGCATTTTGGTGAGAATTTTCCAGGACAAAAAGTTATTTGCGATTTGTGGAATTCAATCGTCATGGTGCGATTTCTTTATATTTGGCTGGAAAACCACAAGTGGCTACCCGAATTGAAATGGGAATAAATCTTTTGCGACTCGTAGCATCGCTCGTTAATGTCATACTGGTGGCGGAACTCGACGTCAAGGAAGTGGACGTCAAGGAAACATAAACATCAGCAGAAATGATTCGAGAAGTAAAAAAGCGACTTCATTGAAACCCGTGTCGCAGTGGTCGAGGGATGGAATGGCTCGTGAGCTGAACATATCACAATATTCCATTCAGCAAATATTGAACTTGCAAGAACTTACACCGCAGAATTGGTCCGAAAAGGAAAGAAGCGACTTCATCGAAACCCGCGTCGCTGTGGCCGAAAAATGGCTCGTGAGCTGAACATATGTCAATATTCCATTCGGCAAATATTGAAAAACGAGCTCCTCGGGGTAAAGCCATTGACATTCCAAAAAAGTGCAAGAACTTACACCGCAGAAATGGTTCGAAAAGTAAAGAAGAGACTTGATCGAAACGCGCGTCACTATGGCCGATGGATGGAATGGCTCGTGAGCTGAACATATCGCAATAACTATTCCATTCGGCAAATATTGAAAAATGAGCTCCTCGGGGTAAAAAAAAGTGCAAGAACTTACACCGCAGAAATGGTTGGAAAAGTAAAGAAGCGACTTGATCGAAACGCGCGTCACAGTGGCCGATGGATGGGATGGCTCGTGAACTGAACATATCGCAATATCCATTCCATTTGGCAAATATTGAAAAATGAGCTCCTCGGGGTAAAAAAAATTACAAGAACTTACACCGCAGAAATGGTTTGAAAAGTAAAGAAGCTACTTGTTCGAAACCCGCGTCGTAGTGGCCGATGGATGGAATGGCTCGTGAGCTGAACATATCGCAATATCTATTCCATTCCGCAAATATTGAAAAATGAACTCCTCGGGGTATAGCCTTTGAAATTCCAAAAAGTGCAAGAACTTACACCGTATCGAAAAGAAAATAGACTCAAATGAGCTAAAGAGTTGCTTCGCTTGGCCGAAAGTGGCGAACTGCCGAATTTGGGTTTCTCCGATGAGAAAACATTCTTTGTCCAGCTGTTGACATGATCGTGTTTACTTGCCAAAGAGGTCAGTTGATAATGTGCACCTTCGGAACTCCAGCACCTTCAGAACTCAAGCGCCGGCCATGGTGATGGTGTGGCGGCCCCCATAACAGCCGATGGTCGTTCTCCGCTCGTATTAATCGACCATGGCATCAGAATAAATGCCGAATATTATCGCAAAAATATTCTGGAGGGTGTATTAAAGCCTTGGGCACTCAAATATTTTGGCCGCAGACTTTGGGCATTCCGACAGGACTCAGCACCATCGCAGTTGAAAATGTGCACCTTCGGAACTCAAGCGCCGGCCATGCTGATGATGGTGGATCGGCCAATACAGCCGATGGTCGTTCTCCGCTTGTATTAAAAGACCGTGGCATCAGAATAAATGTCGAATATTATCGCGAAAATATTCTGGAGGGTGTATTAAAGCCTTGGGCATTAAAGCCAACAGGACTCAGCACCATCGCAAAATGGTTGCAAAATGAGGTCCCTCGCTTCATTTCCAGCCCACAATGGCCACCAAAAACCTCCGGATACTATTGTGTCTGGAGTATTTTCGAATGCAAGGTTGGCACTAAAAAATATCAAAGTGTCGATCACCTCAAATACCAATAGGACTCAGCACGCGCCACCCAAGAATGGTTATAAAATGAGGTTCCTCCTCACTTCATTTCCAGTGCCCAAAAACCACCAAAATTTCCGGATACCAATCCCCGTTGGACTATTGTGTCTGCAGTATTTTGGAAAGCAAGATTGGCTATAAAACCTGAAAAAATTTCCTTGAACTGAAAAAATCGTGGTCCTAACCTCAAAATTCTTTGGTGAAAATCGTCAAATTTTTCCAAAACAATTTGGAATTTCAGCCCTGGCAAGACAAGATTCTGTGAAAAATTCAAGTTTTTTCTATAATAACTGAAAAATTTTTCTTAGACTGAAAAATCAGTAGTATTTAGAGCGTATTTTGGAAAGCAAGATTGGCTCTAAAAAATACCAAAGTGTCGATCACCTCAAGCAAGCGCTTCGCCGGGAATGGGCCAAAATACCGCAGAGTAAGATTCGGGCAACGTGTGACGGTTTCATTGGCCATTTGAAGGCCATAATTTGTGCCAAAGGTGACAAATTCGAACAAATCTAAACTTATTCTAAAATTTGAAGCTATTTCCGACATTTTTTTCTTTCATTCAAATTTTTTTTAAAAAAAAAAAGAAAAAATTATGGTCTTTGACTTTGTTGCAGTTTTTTTTTTCATCTCACCCTGTATATCTATTGTTATTTTTTATATAACATAATTTATATGTATGTCTTTTGTTAAAATTTGTAACTAATTTTCAAATTTTCTTTTATTTTTTTTTTAATATTTTAGGCACTGTTAAATATTTAGCGCCTACAGATGCAATGCATATGCTTAACGATCAAGAATTTCTAACGTAGATGTGGGCTGTGTGTAAACGTTAACATTATCGTATAGATGTTTTATTACCTTTTTTTAATTTTGAGAATGTGTTTATAATTTTTAAGTAGTTTATTTTTTTCAAAATGGCAGTTTGATGAAAGGGTATTTGATTTTTATCACGTTGGCTTAATATTTCAAAAACAAAAAAAGTATGAGGTGTGTCGTACAAAAAAAAAAATTTAACTAAAAACCTTTAAAAAACCTCCAGGAAATAGTAGATATTTCCTGGTTGTGATATGAAGTATTGGTCCCGTGAAAGATAGTCTTCAGATTGTGTACTTTTAGTATGGCCAGGGCTAATAATTCATGGCTCTTAACTCAAATCTTTTGAGAGCAATTTCCATTTTTTTTAAAGGGTTGTCCAATTTTATATCCCGTTGACATAGTATTTAAATTTTTTTTGTAACTATTTCAAAAAAATTCAAAAAAAAAATCAAACTCGACTGAAATATTATGGTCCTAACCTCAAATCGGACCAGGGCTAATGGTTATGACATCAAATCCTTTGAGAGCAATTTCCAATTTTTTGAAGAATTTTCCAATTTTATATCCTGGTAGCAAAGCATTTCATTTTTTTAAATAATTTTTAAAAATTCAAAAAAATCAAACTCGGCTGAAAAATTATGGTCCTAACCTCAAATTTTTATAATATAGTTTTCAAGTGGTTTTTAAAGATTTTCTTATTTTTATTAATGACATTAGTTTTCACTTAACATTTAATTATTTCAAAAAAATTCAAAAAATTACGTAAGGCTGAAATGTCGTGGTCCTAACCTTTAAAATTCATTAGTGAAAATTATCAAATTTTTACAAAACATTTTGGAATTTCAGCTTTGGCAAGAAAAGATTCTGTGAAAAATTCAAGTTTTTTTCGATAATATCTGAAAAATTGTCCTTGGGCTGAAAAGTCGTGGTCCTAACACTAAAATTAGTTGGTGAAAATTGTCAAAATTTTCCAAATCATATTGGAAACTTAGCCTTAGCAAGACAAGATTCTGTGAAAAATTCAAGTTTTTTCTATAAAACCTGAAAAAATTTTCCTTGAACTGAAAAATCGTTGTCCTAACCTCAAAATTCGTTGGTGAAAATTGTCAAAATTTTCCAAAACATTTTAGAAATTCAGGATTCTGTGAAAAAGACAAGACAAGATTCTGTGAAAAATTCAAGTTTTTTTTCCATAAAATGTGAAAATGTTTCCTTGGACCGAAAAATTGTGGTCCTAACCTCAAAATTCGTTGGAGAAAATTTTCAATATTTTTTCGAAATTTTTCAAAGCTTTTGTCATTGCCAAATAAGATTCTAACAAAAATGCAAAATTTTCCTACAAAATGTGAAAAATTATCGATGGGCTGAAAAGTTGTGGTCCTAACCTCAAAAATCGTTGCAGATAATTATTAAAATTTTTTTATAAAATGTGAGTATTATTCCTTGAACTGAAAAATCTTGATCCTAACCTCAAAATTCGTTGGTGAAAATTGTCAAATTTTTCCAAAACATTTAAAAAAATTCAACCTTGGCAAGACAAGATTCTGTGAAAAATTCAAGTTTTTCTATAATATTTGAACAATTTTCCTTGGACTGGAAAGTCATGGTCCTAACCTCAAAATTCGTTGGAGAAAATTTTCAATATTTCTTTTTTAATATTTCAAAACTTTTGTCATTGCCAAATGAGTTTCTAACAAAAATTCAAAATTTTCCTATAAAATGTGAAAAATTATCGATGGGCTGAAAAGTTGTGGTCCTAACCTCAAAAATCGTTGCAGATAATTTTCTAGATTTTTTCGAAATTTTTCAAAATATTTGTCATTGCCAAATAAGAATCAAAAAATTAAAACAAAAAAAATCTGTAAAATGTGAGTATTATTCATTGGACTGAAAAATCTTGATCCTAACCTCAAAATTCTTTGGTGAAAATCGTCAACATTTCGGAAATTCAGCCTTGGCAAGACAAGATTCTGTGAAAATCAAGTTTTTTTCTATAAAACCTGAGAATATTTTCCTTGAACTGAAAAATCGTGGTTCTTACCTCAAAATTTATTGGCGAAAATTTTCACATTTTTCCAAAACATTTTGGAATTTCAGCCTTGGCAAGACAAGATTCTGTGACAAATTTAAGTTTTTTCTATAATATCTGAACATTTTTTCGTGGACTGAAAAGTCTTGGTCCTAACCCTAAAATTCGTTGGTGAAAATTATCAACATTTTCCAAAACATTTTGGAAATTCAGCCTTGGCAGGACAAGATTCTGTCAAAAATTATTATTTTTTTTTTTAATGCGTAAATTTTTCCTTGGCCTGAAAAGTGGTAGTGGTCCTAACCCTAAAATTTGTTGGTGAAAATTGTCAAATTTTTCCAAAACAATTTGGAATTTCAGCCCTGGCAAGGGCCATTACTAAAAAATTTTTAGTAATTTTTTTACCTTCAATTAGTCAAAATTAAGCCCTTGCATTTGAATTCAATATTCTTTTATGCCACACCAAATATTTCACATTTTTAGCCAACGTTTTAAAAAGAAATACCCGACCATGTTTTAAGATTTTAACTTTCTAAATATCCTTTTGTTTAAAAAAAAAGAATTTAATTACCTAGTGTTATGTGTATGTATTTTTATAACTAGACTTGTTTTAGCAATTTAACTTATTTATTAGTTCTTAATTTATAGATTTTTAAATGAAAAACAAACTCTAAAAATTGTAAAACATTGTGCATGTTTCTAAATTCTCAATTTCCTTTAAAAGGCAACGAATTTTTAATTTAAATAAAAAATAAATATGATTTCATTAAATAATGTCATTCCAAATGTTTATAAATTAAAATACTACTGCATGTTTTTGTAACTTGTCATTAAAAATAAGAATTGCATAGAAAGAAAAAGAAAGAGAGAAAAAAACAAGTATTTAAATAATTTTATTTAGGCATGTTTAAATTATAAAATTTTAACAAAAAAGTATACATCTATATCTAGCTTATAATTAAATTTTATTATTTTTTTGTAATTGTTAGAAAACCAAAGTCTTAGATAGTTTTCTATGTAAAAACAAAATTAAATTAAAATTTTGAATTTTATTTATATTAAAAAAAAACGATAACAAATAAAGTCTTCATAACTTATTAAGGGAACATTAAAAAAAATTTGAAAACATTGTTTTATTTAAAAATGTTTTTTTGTCGAAAACAAGCAAAATTATAAAAAAATGGAATTTGTAATTTTTATTTTCTTTTCTTTTTTTATAAAATCAACAATTTTCTTCTAAATTATATAAAAAATTATTTTTTTTTTAATTATATAAAATCAAGAGATTTTTTTTAAATGATATATAATATTTTTTTTAATTAATTTTTTTATTTTTCGATTTTTACCTTTGAAAATGATTAACATTTTTTGATTTAGATATTTTTTATTTTCTTTTTATGATATTCATTTCCATTTTTTATTTTATAAAATATTGGGATTTGTAATTTTATTATACCGAAAATTTTTGTTTTATAAAATCAATGTTTTTTTTTCTAAATTATATATAAAATCAAGGGATTTTTTTTAATTATATATAAAATCAAAAGATTTTTTTATATATAAATTTTTTTACTTAATTTTTTTTATTTTTTAATTTTTACCTTTGAAAATTATTAACATTTTTTGATTTAGATATTTTTTTATTTTCTTTTTATTTTAATTTTAAATTATTAAATTATCATTTTTTTGTTTTAATATTGTAAACGTAATTTTTTATTATTTTTTGCATTTTTTCATTCAAATATTATTTACTGCACTATTTTCGTTTTTATTATAATTGTATTATCTATCCTCTCGTTAATTTCCATAATATTCTTTTCCATTATTTATTTTATAAAATATTGGAATTTGTAATTTTGTTACGCCGAAATTTTTTGTGGATTTTTTTTATTTTTTTTTTATAAAATCAACAATTTTTTTTTCTAAATTATATATAAAATCAAGGGATTTTTTTTAATTATATATAAAATCAAAAGATTTTTTTAAATTATATATAAATTTTTTGCTTAAATTTTTTTTATTATTTTTTTATTTTTACCTTTGAAAATGATTAATATTTTTAAATTTAGATAATTTTTTTTTTAATTTTTAATTATTTATTTTATATTTTAATATTTATAACGTAATTTTTTTTATTATTTTTTGCATTTAAAATCAAATATTATTTACTGCACTATTTTCGCTTTTATTATAATTGTATTATCTATCCTCTCGTTAATTTCCATAATATTCTTTTCCATTATTTATTTTATAAAATATTGGAATTTGTAATTTTGTTATGCCGAAAATTTTTGCGGATTTTTTTATAAAATCAACATTTTTTTTCTAAATTATATATAAAATTCAACGGATTTTTTTTTAATTATATATAAAATCAAGAGATTTTTTTAAAATGATATATAATATTTTTTTAATTTTTTTTTAAATTAACATGATTAACATTTTTTGATTTAGATATTTTTTTTATTTTCTTTTTATTTTAATTTTAAATATTTTAATTACTACTATTTTTTTAGTTTAATATTAAAATCGTATTTTTTTTATTATTTTTTGCATTTTAAATCAAATATTATTTATTGCACTATTTTTTTATCTACCTTCGCGTTAATTTCCATGATATTTTTTACATTTTTTATTTTATAAAATATTCTAATTTTTTTATCCCGAAAATTTTGCGGATATTATTTTTATTTTTTTATAAAATCAAAAGATTTTTTTAATTATATATAATCTTTATCTCTTTTTTTTTTTTGAATTCAAATGTGTGTGTTTTTTTTTTTTTTTTTTTGTTATTTTTTTAATTAAAAAATATGATTTTTACCTTTGAAAATGATTAATATTTTTTTAATTTAGATAATTTTTTGTTATGCCGAAAATTTTTGTGGATATTATTATTTTTTTTTTAATAAAATCAACATTTTTTTTAAATTATATAAAATCAACAGATTTTTTAAAATTATATATAATTTTTTTTTTTTAATTAAAATGTTTTTTTTTTGTTATTTTTTTTTTTTTTAGATTAAAAAATTTGATTTTCACCTTTGAAAATTATTAATATTTTTTAATTTAGATAATTTTTTATTTATTTATTTTTTTAGTTTTAATTTATTTAATTATTATTATATTTTTTTGTTTTAATATAAAATACGTAATTTTTTATTATTTTTTTTAATCAAATCAAATATTATTGCACTATTTTTTATCTACCTTCGCGTTAATTTCCGTGATATTTTTTACATTTTTTATTTTATAAAATATTGTAATTTTTTTATCCCGAAAATTTTGCGGATATTATCTTTATTTTTTTTTTTTATAAAATCAACAGATTTTTTTTTAAATTATATATAATCTTTATCTCTTTTTTTTTTTTTTGAATTCAAATG